CATAAGTCTTATTCTTGTTAAATAAAAACTAAAACAGATGTGATAAATCTTTCATCTGAGATAACATAACAAAAATAACACCCAACTTCTGAAATCAGAAATATGTAAAGATACTCAACACCAGACAACTAACATGAAAAATAACATAATACCCAACTCACAAATCACTCCATTAAACTTTACGCATCAACATCAGTGGGAACATATTCTTGAACTTCCTGATGAGTTAAAGAGTAGACTCTTAGTTGAATGTTTTACATTGGTTGCTCCTTACGAGTCACAGTGTTAGTTTCTATCATCTTTTGTTTGCTACTTCTTAAAGTAGATCCATCTTTAAAATTCTTCTAAGCTGAAACCCTTCCCAATTAGCATATGATGTGAATTTTTAAGTAGAATGAAGGCAGTTTCTCATCTGATGTTCGGGCTATCTACATAAGTAACACACCTTTAACCAAAATAGACATTCACCGTGATGTTACTTCTCACACTTAGCACAAGGCCCTATAGTGTTGGTGTTGTCTAACCAATTACTCCATGAACATGGGATTTTATCTTCTTCCCGTTAAACTCTCGAGAATAAAATTTGTGACACTTCTTTTCAATCTCTTCCTCTTGTGCATGTCATTAAGCTTCTGAGTCTGCTGAAAATCAACCTCCACTCGTCTAGCCCTCTCCACTAGCACTGAAAATTTTCCGATCCCAAGTCGTACCAGTGGTTTTCAAATTGAATCCTTCAATTCAGAAAAAAATCTAACATTTTCCCTCTACAATAGGAATGAGCTATGGTGCATACCTCGACAGCATAGTAAATTTTGTTTCATGCTGCATAATCAATCGATCACCCTGTACCAGCATAATGAATTTATCTTGCATCTGTCTCCTAGCTGATAGTTGCACAAGCCAATCTCTAAAGATTTTCACGAACTCCTCTCATTGCACCAACTGGTTGGTTCTACCTCCAACCTTCTCCAACATCTGTTCTTGCGACCACCTCTTAACTTCTCCCTCAAAAGCAAAAGTGGCAAATGTAACTTTCATCGACGGTGGATATGTAATAAAATCAATGATTTTCTTCACCCTTACTAGCGAGTTTTCAGCTTCCATTGGCCCTCATGCTCCAGAAAACAAAGGTGGCCTCATATGTTGGAAGAGCTTCAAATATTTATCAATTGGAGCTACTCTACTGTTACTGGCTTGAAGCTGGGAGTTCATAATCATCTGCGTCACTACAGTCATCATCTCAGCAAAAGCATTAGCATTGACCATAACATTCTGGGGTATATTAAATTCAACATCATCATCATCCCTGACCTCTATCTCTGGATCATCCATAATTATGAAATAACAATAAAATAATTTAATTATTCATTTAAAATTTTAATTCCTATTATTTATAACTTAATCCAATTATCATATTGGATCTTTCATTAATATTCATGTTGTTTAATCTAAAACTCTGCTCTGATACCACTTGTCTCGACCCGATCAGGGGTTTTGAATTAGCCAAGGCAGGAACAGACGGTCGGAAGGTAAAAATAAATTCTCTGTTTTTCAGTTTTTATCACTAAAAATTAAATATTCAAATATTTATGAAATGGCTACTAAAGAAAGCAAATTTAATTAAATTTGCACTTTCTTATTGTTGTTCTAGTCTCTTGTATATATTATCTTCTATCCTATTCATTCTAATCAAAAGTTTAAACCTAAAAAAAAGTTAAAGCAACATAACGAGTTATCTAAAGATAACATAGAAGAAGCAATCACATCCAAATTACATTAACCCAATGGAAAAAATTCAATATGAAGGTTTTTCATATCTTATAAAAAAATCCTGAATTATGTTAATCTTTCATATTTTCATAAGGAATCTTATGCATGTTAATGCATGCATCAATAACCTTTTCTAAATAAAAATACTCAAACCTTTGATATAAATTTACTTTAACTTTACTTTTATTTATTATTCTTTATATACACATCTGGCTGCTTTAAGGATTATCGTCAACAAAACCAAACACACCTTTAGCCGGTATTGCTCCTTCAGTTCCTCCCGTCGGCTCTCATCAGCATTTAGTGATGTAAACATCACAATTGTCTATATGGTGAAAAGACCCTTACCTGCCTCCTGGCTGATATTATCTCTTCGGCATAACGGATAGCAATATAAACATTACAATTATCTAGGAAAGTAAACTTCGATCTACTTGCCCCAAACCGATAATAACCCGTCGGCATAACAATTAGTGATCTAACCATCACAATTGTCTGGAGTGATTGAAAAACTCTGCATGTGCAGGTACACTGATATCACCTGCCTGTACCATCAAGGAGTGAACTACTCTGAACATGCACATACAAATATTCATATATAAGTCATTTCATTCTTCCATATCATTCATTCTCCTCTTATGAAACACTACTTATATCCACTAATGAATACGTGCATGTTTACTAGCATCAGTATATCATGCACTATTCTAATAACTTCATAGATAAATCATTATGCAACTCGTTGAACATGATTGTTTTCTAAAATCATGTAATGATATACTATATGATTTCTATTTGAAGTTACAGATCATGCAATAATCTAATATATATGCACCTCTACTATAATTTAATATCATTCAATGATCTAATAACCTTATAGAAAATTCCATGTGTATCTATTTTATATACAAATTTTCTTATATATCACCATGAAGAAGCTATTATAATCTAAATCTCATTGAAATTAAATATAAATAAAGCATCAATAAAATCAAACATAAATTTTGAAATAATACTAATTACTGAAATTTAAAATGTAATAACTAACCTTGACCTTTATTAGACCTCTTTATGTGCTTATTTTTCCACTTAACAAGTTGGCATTAGTTAATAAAACTACAATTTAATGTTTAAATATGCTTTCAATTTTGACTAAAGAAATCTAAATTAAACAAACTCTCTCTTACTTTAAAGGCTCAATTTAATTTCTCGCACACTAGGCTCCTAATCGGATTAGTTCAGCCTTTATTCTTCTGCCTATACATTTTGATATTTATTTATAATTAAAAATATAATAAATTTAACTAAAATATGTTAATTCAAACTATAAAGGTAAACTCATACTTCCTTGTATTTCTTTTTTCTCCCCCAACTTGAGTATTCTTCAGTTGTTGATTTCTAATTTAAGAAAAAATATAATTAAATTCACGATTAATAAATTTTTAATTTATTTACATTTAATGACCAGTAAAGTTCTACACTCACCTCAATATGTCGATCCTTTCTCTATTCAATTTGAGATTCTAATAGATTCTATCTTGACTTCTAAAGAACGTTCAATTAACAACTAAAGGATAAGCCTAAATATAAATAAAATATAATAATAATATAACTTTACCTTAAAATTCATTCAGTCACCCTTCGCCCGTCTTGCACGTACGCTAACCCCGTGGGATTTGGCTTAACCAATACCCGCACTAAACCCTACCTTCCTCTTCGTAATTGGCTTGACCCAACAGATCGCACAAGAACCTTCTTCCTCTCTGCTCGATCCCCTGTACTTCGATCGTGGAGGCTCCTTCACGCACAAAACGGGAGCTACCATACCCACGAGAGCTCCTTGCTTCTCCTTCGCATCAGTCGCTAGACATCACTTCCTTAGATTGGTAAGGGCACGGGCTATTTGTTCCTTCTTAACTTCCTCTTCTTTTTTGCTCGGATGAGAAGGCGGCGAGCGGCGACAGGCGACGCCAACCCCAATTCCTCACAGACATAAAGCCTCTACTTCCTTCTTCCTGTCTTCTTCATGCCTCGTCTGCGGCATTGTTCCTCTTCACACAAGCACTCGCCAACTTCGCTGAAGCCCAATGAGTGCTCTGCCTCCTCTCCTTCACTTACGGCTAGAACACATGCTTCCTTCTCAAAGGTAAATCTTCCACTTCTCCTTTTACCGCTGCTTCTTCTCCTTCGTTGCTTCTTTCTCTCGCTTTCACTTGTCCCACTGCTTCTCTCTTGTTCGGTTTTGAATGCAAACTAAAGGATAAATGCTCGTTTAAATTCCCCCAAGCAATACTTCTCCAAAAGACAATCCTATTAGTAAATTAGTATTTCTTTATTTATTATCATTATTATTCCTCTTTTTTACTCAATTATTACAAAAGATACAACAAATATTAATGAAAGTTGAGCATTAGTAATTCTTCATTTGTAATCATAGGATTTTTTAAATTTTAGTAGATAAGTTGGATTATATGTAGGATGAACTCTTTTGAAACATATTATATCTAATTTTTAAAATTACTTTTCATAAGCATGATGTTTTATAATATAAATTAAATTTATGAAGTTAAATGTTATTCTCGCATAATTTATGTTGTAATATTTTTCATAAAAAATAATGAAAAAATATATTTTATATTAATGACTAATTAAATATAAAAACATGACTGACATGCCGTGTCCTATTTTTTTCAATTATGTCGTGCCCTATTTTTTTCAATTATGTCGTGCCCCCATATCGTGTCATGTTTGTGTCTCCGTATTTGTGTCCGTGCTTCATAGCATTGGTCATAATGCATTATGCATTGCGCACTTTTTCTTATCCATAAGAAATATTAAGTAAATATTTACTGCATAAAATATGTTTGTTAATGTTAATTACATGGATCAAATTTGATTTCATCTCTCGCTCCAAATCTAGAAGTCACACAAAATAAAGTTAGAATCACATGCAGGCTATAACCTTGAAGAGGAATAAATGGAAGATCTCAAAAACCAATCCCAAGAAATTAGGATAATATTAATGATCGCGTTGTGCTGGATCTTTATCCATCCAGTCTATGTATCTTGCATTATATAAATTCAAAAAAATGATTTTTTAGGCCACTGTACCAATGGCACAAGAATTCATTCCATTTGAAAAGCCAAAACAAATGTAACTGGGGTAGAAAAGAATAACCATTTGTATGTAGCCCTTTTTTCAAAATAAAACATGAAAGAATAATCAATACCTTGTGATGAGTTTCAAAAAATCTTATCACTTCCTCCATATGGTTACGGTAAAATCCCTGCACAAAATACAATTTACTGTAGCACCCATCAAATCAGTAACCAAATCTGTGACACCAACACCAAGCAACTTTCATTACCTCAACATAGCCAAAAAACCCTGAACTCATATCACCCGCAGGGAAACCCATAGCAATTATATTTTCTGTGATATAAGTCAAATCCAAATCAAATCCACCTTCCTGAGAAATTTAAAAAACAATAAATAAATGTATTAGAGATGCATGATCGACATGCAATTATCTATTTTTCAATCATAAAAAAGCATTTTCCGTATTTAATGTTCAGCACCAACAATCACACCTTCCACTACAAAGACCGGTTTCTTGTGATAAATGAGAGGCAAACAAGTTCAATATAAGCAACAGAATTTTTTACATAAACGGAGCAGTACCAGCAATAATAAATTATATATAGCTTTTATCGACTAAGGAAAAAATTAAAGCAGCTTAGCATTATAACAAAAACAACAACAACAACAAGCACTAAGTGGGGTCGGCTACATGAATCCTTTCTCTCCATTGTGTCCTGTTGAGAAACAAATTTCATTAAATTATAAGAAATTAACATCATTTTCTATACAATATGCCCAAGTTTTTTTTAGGTACGCCTTTGCCATTCTTAACATAGGTTGAATTTAAAACATCTACTCTCCTAACCGGATCATCAAATGGTCAACGTTTAATGTGACCAAACCATCTAAGGCCCCGTTTGGGACAGCTTAAAACAGTGGGCGGCGTTTTTGAAAACGCCGCTTACTGTTTGAATAACACGTTTACACTGCGTGCTTGAAATCGCGAATTTTATTTTACGAATAACGCTGCCCGCGGGATCATACCGGAGGTCGGCGTTTCCTTCTCGCGTTTTCTCCTGAATTACTCCGCTACCCTCGCGATCGAGCTCCTGCCCTTGCGCCTCTCGGATTCGGCATTTCTTCCTCCTTCGTTCGCGATCGAGCTCGCAGACCCGCTCCCTGCTTCGTTCGCGATCTAAGCTGCGGCTCGCCTCTCAATCAGATTCCCTTTCAGTTTTGTCTCCGTTCGGATCAGTTCTCTCCAGGGAAGGAAAGAACTGTAGCCTTTCCTTCCTCCTTTCCGATTCACTATTCCAGTGCTCCCAAGGACTAGTGAGTCTCTGGCTGGTTCGAGGGACCCGAAAACGATTCCTCTGCTGTCGCCGAGAAGATTTTGATACTAACAGAGTTCTCCTATGATCTCAATAAGAGCAATGCACAGACCTTTCCCATCTCTACTGCTGATTCAAGCATCATCAACATGGTCAGGCTGGACTTCACCTCCAACCATGGTAGCTCGAGCCACACCTGCATTTATCGACTCCGGGGGCACGGCTTCGGGCCCCGCCCTCCGCCCAGAGAAAGCCAGTAAGAGAGTGGTACTGTGCACTTTCTTTATTTTGTTTTTTTATATAGTTTGATCAGATATGTTTAGGTTTCTGGTCGTAGAATCTCCAATTATCTTATTAATACACTTCTTTAGTTGAAGGTTTGGGGGGTGACATATTGGAATTCGCGTTTGTATGTTTTAGCTGACACATTTTTTCCCTTGCTATTTTTTGCTGGCTTTTTTTACCATAACATTAGGCTTAATGAATGTCATTCAGGTTTAAGTATTTGTTGTGGATGTAATTGATTTTCTCATGTTGCAAATGTTTATAATTCAGTATCATGAAAAATAATTGGGATAATTACATACAGACCACCCGAAACATTGATATTTACGGATTAATCACCCAAGTGATTTTTTTGAACTGTATGACAGATGTATTTATACGTGCCACGATCAAATCATTGAGAATTAAAATACATGTTGGGGTTTTACCATGAGTTTTGTTATTTGAGGGAGACTTGGAAAATGGATGGGAGCGGGTGGTTGATTTGTAATTAATAAGTTTTGGATGGTTTGTATGTAGTTGTCCCAAAATAATTTAATATTAGATCGTTGAATAGAAATGATTGTTCAAATATGTTTTGTAGTCAATATGAATGCGTGTTCTTGAATGTAAAATAAAATAAAATAAAGAATATTAAAATATTCGATTCTGATCTTATTAGTTTGAAGCCCACTTTTCATACATGTTTGAGGTTATATATATTATAAGAAATATAGTTGTTTTCCAAACGCACTAACCAAACAACCAGACAGCTTATCCGAATCAGCTTGTCATCAGCAGATTATCAGGATAAGCTGCTTATCAGCAGAAGTTGGATAAGCTGCAACTGCCCCAAACAGACCCTTAGTATTGTGCGAAAATTCATCACACACAGAAATGATAAAGAAAGGTAATAGGAGAAGAATCCTCAATTTTTTCAATTTTTCTTTAAGTGTCAAGCCACTCATCCACCCAAGCGTTCTCATCTCAGCAATGCTCTATGACCAACATTTTATGCCATAGAGCATTGCAATTCTCACTACAATCTTATAAAGTTTTCCTTCAAGTCCAAGCAGTACTTTTTTATCACACAATAGGCCCAATGCATTCCTCCACTTCAACCAACCAACTTGAATTCTACTAATAATATACTCATCTATATCACCATCACTTTGAACATAGACCTGAGATATCTAAAACATTCACAACTTTTAATGATTCGATCACCCATGATAACAGAGACCCATTATTATAACTCCGCCTCTAGAACTACTACTAAAGTTACATTCCATGTATTCAATTTTAAATCTACGCAAACGAAGGCCTTTAAAATCTAATGCAAAATCTAATGCAGACCTCCATAATTCAATTTTTTCCCTGTACTCTTTCTCTAGTCTCATCCACAAGAAGGATATCATCAGCGACTAATGACTAATGAAACAATATGAGATGAGCTTAACATAATTAATCAAATATAATTTGACTGAAATTGAAACAATATGAAATCAGAAAATAAGAATGGCAGTAAACAAAAGTCATTTAGAAAACAATCATAAAAAACGATGACAAAATAAATTTTTATCAATATAACCACCAATCAGTTTATTGTAGTAAGCAAGTACTGCTTTTATTAGTCTTGCAATTGAATATTACATATAAGAAAATAAAGAAAATGCAAAGGTGGCCAGTACATCGTAAAATAAAGTAACCATGTTAGTCATGCAAACTCTCATTGTTTGTAAAATTGGAATGGCATGACAGCAGGACAGTCAAAAAGTTTGCAGCTCCAAAAAGAGCATACACATGAATCTTGTTTAAAGAGTAGTGCATCATTTACTGGGAAACGAAACAACAAACATAAAAGAATATGAAAACCACAAGAACTTGTGAAAACTGAAATAGCACATAAAAAAGTGCGGTGTTTCAATTTACATTAGTCCTTCAGGCATAAACAATCAACTTAATTTATCTTTTGCAAACTTCATAGCGATAACTCACATTTGGCTTTGGTAAATATGAACAGTTCGCATAAAATTTGCACTTTCACATGCATTTTATTGGAGAGTTTTAACGCAAGAACATACTTCAAAGCTCAACCTAATAATAGTTATGCCATTGTTATGTTGCCTATGATCAATCATGCCATCATGTTTGTTACCCGTATCCTTGACTTTGTTTTTAATAAAAAAATAAATGATAAAACAAAGGTAATTATTGAAGACAGGGTAGCAAAGTCAAAAAGGTAGAGATAAGTACCATAGAACCAGTCAACACCCACTTAAGAGAAATAGCTGATCAGAATGATCTTAAAGTAAAAAAGTTATAGGTAGCCATAGTGATATTAGTTGGTAAATATTGCATGTCAGTCATAATGATACGATCAACACTTGAGAGAACCTCAGCCCATGATGCTGGCACGGTAGGGCCTGCATAGCTAGGTACACATTGTACACTGATGCTCCAGAATCACAGCTAAAATTTGGGTGATGAGAATAGTAATGGAAGAGGAAATTTACAAGAAAAATAGAACTAGAAAGGATGGTGGAGCATAACATGCATTTTAAAAGGCTAATTTTAATATCTGGTGAACCAAGTGGATGACATACATATTTATTCAAAACCAAATTTAAAAAAAAAAAGCAAGAGCAAGATCAACGGTTCACTTGGCATCATTAAAAAAAAAAGCAAGATCAACGGTTCACCCTATGTTGGCATCATTTTCAATGTAACATACAACTCAAGGACACCTCAATGTCCCTTTACCAAGATGTCTTAAGTTTGAGTTTGTCACTGTGATGCTTCGGTTGATGGTTCATAATTCACACCAAGCGGATGTGAGCTAAGATATTGTGATCTAGGCATTAGAGAGTTTCGTGCTCAAACAAGCCCATTTGGTGCTAAGACTTAGGAGTTTGTGTTATACTTGTGCTAAGGCTTAAGCATCTCTTTGTTATACTTGCAGCACCCAAGCGCTGTAGTTTCTGTTTAAAGAGCATTCTCTTTTCAATTTCTTAACACTAAACTTTCAGCGCCTCAGTGTTATGTTCTCCATGTAGAGAGCTATTTTCCTGAGGCCTAAGCGCCTCGGAGCTATATTTGCAGCACCTCTACTCAAGCTACAGTGTTTTGGCACTGATTCTCTACTTTGAGAGCATATTCCCTCTGGCTATGGCATTACAGTGCCAATACTCGGCACTAATACACTCTGTTCTCTAATTGGAGCATGTATTTTTTCTTCACGAGGTTGAAAATCCGTGTGCTCATTTTGGGCACCACGATACTGGATCCTTGATTTGACAATTCGAAATAGTTTTGGCAATCGTGCCTAGACATGCTACTTCACAGTGTTACGACATTGATGTTCAATTTCATAATTATTTTAAGATATGCTCCTGCCACAAGATGACGGGTAGTGCATGGGCAAGAGAAAAATTATCCAATAGTAACTTAGTAGCATGGTTTGACTAACTTGGAGAAGAGGGAGGCGATTGGTTGAGCCAATCATAGAGGGATAAGATAATTTTTCTCCCTTGGCTGTTGGCTATGAGGTTGATGGCCTAAATAGGAGAAGCTTCCTCCTGTAGGGGTTCTTGTTGTCTTTATACTTCAAGGACTAGTTGATGTGAGGAGAGAGTTGTTGGAGGTGAGACAAGTTAAGTAAGAGCCTCTCCATGTCTCCTCTCTTTAAACTTTCAGCTCCATACGACAACACTATAGGAGTAAGAGGGAGCTGAATGGGGGAGAATGAAGCTCGAGTTTTCTCCACATTGGTTGCATAGAGAAGAAGGCCTATTTAACCTCTTCCTTCATCCATTTTCATCCCACTTACGTGCTAACGATCTTGGCGAGTCGGAGACAGGCTTTAGCTAGATGTACCAAGTAAGCTGTTGGTTTGCTATAGAGACCTAGTTCTAGGTCTCTTTTTCCATCCTAATAACTTCTCCAAATCTTTCCATCTCTCTTAGAGACTCTAGGGTTGCTATGGAGAGCTAGTTCTAGGTCTCTTTGTGTAGAGTAAGCCCTTAGGGTAGACAGACACAAATTCCTAATATGTATCCTTGAAAAATACTTGAGAAAAATTCTAGACTCCCGTGGTGGCGCCAACCTCCCCAATTTATTTTTCTGGTACTATCTGTCCCGCTTATTGTAGTCAAGTCAAGTTCATGCCTTTGTAGATGTGAGCTTAGGAAAGTTTGCTCCTCAACTGTCAGATCTCCTCATAGAGTCCAATAGTCATGACTTCATAGAACATTGTTTTGATATACAACCACAACACCCTTGTCAGGCGTGGTAGTTGTAGATCTCACCACCTCATATGCATTCAAATGAAATGCATAGGATAGCAGATTGAGTTCGACAATAAAATAAGTTAGGTTTACAAAATAGCATAAACCAAAAATAATTTGCATGTTAGGGTAGTAACTTAGTGCACTATTTCACACACTATTTCATGCATTTAGGGTAGTTGGTGTACTGTGTAGATTGGTACCGAGGTGCTTAGTGCCTCGATGTTGCAGTAGCAACATAGTGGCGTCATTCACTCTAGGCATCAGCGTGATCTAAGCAATGTTACGACGCTAGCAACTTGAGTTCATCTTAATGTTTGCATGTCTTCTCATGCCATCATAAATGTATTAATGGAAGTTGATGTGCTTATATCACCCACCTCATTACATTTTGTATTGGGAAGATATGGTATCTCAGTTTTGTATGAGATGCACCTCAACGCTAATTAATGAGTATCGCGACACCTTACCTCCTTCATTCATATTTTATATCATTTAACATTTGGATGCATTAATCGGTCATCTAAGTCACGTATGATTGCATGTTAAGCATCCTCATATGTTCAAAGTCATGCCTCAAATATTTAGTTGTGTTCATTGCAAGCATATATACCTTTCGTAATTACCAGTGCAAGTGAATTTTGCTTGTTGTGATGCGCCATCATATCATTCGAATATAGGCTTAGGTTAGGAAAGTCGACGCATCAATGATGAAACTCATGTAGCCTTTAAGTTGACCTATATTTGTGATGTATTAATGATCATTATTCGTGAGTTTATCTCATTGGAAAACAAGAATTAACATGTCATGATTAGATATTGTGTGATTATTCTGAGGATAAGGGTAATCTAGAACATCACCCTATATGCTTGAACAATTTGTAAGGTCAGCCATTTTACAATAAAAAAATTTACTATATCATTATACCATAGGAGTCCATTAGTCATGACTTCACCGGACGTTGTCTTGATCTACAACCACAACACCCTTGTCAATCGTAGTAGTTGTAGATTTCACCACCTCATATGCAACCCAATGAAATACATAGGGTAGAAGCTCGAATTCCACCATTGAATAAATTAGGTTTACAAAATGCATAAACCAAAAATAATTTGCATGATGGGGTAGTGACATAGTGCACTAATTCACACTATTTGATGCATGTAGGGTAGCTAGTGTACTACGTAGATTGGTATCGGGGTGCTTATTTGCCTCAGTGTTGCATTAGCAGCATTCGTATGTTCAAAGTCATGCTCAAATACTTAGCTATGTTCATTGCAAGCATATCATACCTTTTGTAATTATTAGTGCATGTAAACTTTGCTTGTTGTAGTGTTCCAACATATTATTCGAATATAGGCTTAGATTAGGAGAGTCAAAATATCAATAATGAAACTCATGTAGCCTATAAGTTGACCTATGGTCATGATGTATTCATGATCATTATTCGTTAGGTTATCTCATTGGAAAACAAAAATAAATAAGCCATGATCAAATATTGTGTGATTATTTCGAGAATATGGGTATTCTAGAATATCACCCTATATACCTAAAAAATATGTAAGGTCAACCATTTTACAACTGAGAATATGTCTACTAAGTTTGAACTATATGCACAATATTAGGAATAGATTAGGTCTTCTGTAGGGAGTCATATCCACGGTGGAAAAAAATAAAAATAAATGTAATAATGCATTATCTATAAGTGCTAACTTGCTTATCTCTCATGTTGAACATAATCCATTAGATGTTGTATGTTTTATATATAAATTGCATATTGACCTTTATTTCTTACGAATTTGAGTTTGTAATCGTATGACTCTTGATGTGTAATCGTATGACTCTTGATGTAGTATTAGAGTCTAGGTGGCATGTACTAGAAATAAGATACGAAAATATATCCCCACAAAGCACAACAATCAAGGTCAGGTAAATAAGAAAATCAGAAACTCTCTGCTCATGCCTCATACATTAATTTCAAATTATATATTTTAGTTTGGGATTATATATATACGGATCTTGATTGTTTCACTTTTTTCGGATATATGTTGTCAACTCAATAGCACTCGACCTATTTTTTATTCTTCATTATTGTGTGTTTTCTCTTCTATTCTTCTTTGTGTGATTATCTGCTTGAATGTGGAGGGCATTCACAAGTCTTCAAGATTTGGATAGAATGAGCTAGTTTGATTATTTTGAGGTTTGCATCTCCTACTTATCCAACATAGACCGCCTTATGGAAACCTTCTACACCCTTTTTATTATCTTCACATTTAATTTAATCTTACTACCTCCCTAACTCTTGCCAACTATTATATTCACCCTTATCACGTGGTAGTATGATGCATTTAGTGAAGAGGTTGTTTGAAAGGGGAATAAAAAAGGATCATGTGAATGCAACAAATAGAGGACAAACACAGTATTTGCCAGATTAGTTTGTAGTAGCATATGTTATTCATTCCAATCATGAATAAATGAGCATCTTAACATCCAGGTTTTGTAAGATCGAAATACAGTATGTAGGCTACTAGTTATTGACTTCACAATAAAACATTTACACTAACGACAACAGTTCACAGAAGCAGAAGTTATTTCTTGCTAAGATAATGGTGTACAAAAAATAATTTATAGTTCAAAAGTCGCTGCAATGTGATATCAACATGACTGGAATGAAATTAGCAGATGCCCACGCATCAAAGAATGATCAAGAGGGAGAAAAATCAGATTAAGAATTAAATTGGTAGCAATACCTGATATCTCCTTTTGTTTTGAGAGACAATGTGACGGGCCTTCACCTGTACCGCTTTGACTGCATTTTTTGATGTGTCAACAAAACCTTTCGTAAAAGAGCCTAAAGCGCCCTGTTGAGTAGAGGTTGAAGAGCCATCGAAATTATCATCTTTTGGAGGTGATTTAGGAGAAAAACGCAGTCCCAATCCACTAGTAAAACGAGCAAATGTTGACTTTCCTGAATTTCCTGTTTGAGAGTCCTCTTGGCCTGCTGCCTGTGGTAGCTTCAAGTTTTTGGCCCAGGAGGTTATTCCAGAGGAAGACAGAAGCGATGGTGATTGTTGTACATATGTGTCTTGTCCAGATGAAGGATGTTGGTTGTCATTTGGAATGGGACGTAAAGGAGAAGAATCAGACTGCGATGCCTCCATGGTAGAACAGAACCGTAATAACACAGAATAGTTTGTAGAAGTCTGACAATGAAACAATCAATGTGGATATATTTTGATAATGCGCCAGATTCTGCAAAATGAATAATGCTTGTGCTAAGGAAAGGATACCACATCTAAGATCATATGTAATTTTACAGAGAAAAATTGAGAACATAGGATGGGCATTTAGAGATTATCCAAACATGAGCTAGAAAACTTCCAATTCATATAATATACGTTTACTGATTTGGCTTCATTCAAATTGGTAAAAACTTAGCAAATATAAGCTGCCTAACCGGCTATAAGCACTACAGCTAAAATATTAATCCTTTCAACATCACAGATTTCCATTGGCTCATCAAGTTTCAAGAGAAAAACATATTTACAACAAGAATGAAACTATCATTTCCAACTTCAGTTTAACGCATGAAACAAACCATAATAAGCATTTGCAAACTGTTATAAAATCACATGCCATCATAATTTCTGGAGAATTTGAAAGCAATAAAGTTCAGAGTTTAAATCAGATACAGAGCAGAAAATGTTTTAACTGATAAGTTGTCAGCAAGAAAGAAACTCATAGAAGCATTTGAAATTTTGGAAGTTTAAAGGTAGAAGCCAGTAGCACCACAGTTGTAACCAAGCTCGGATAAAAGGAAACATAGTTTTGCTAAGCCGTTTTAAATGCATGTAATGATAGGATGTAGATTTTTTTTTTTTTT